TCGAAAGTCGTAACCTTCAAGTCTCCATCCATCCATCAATTTTCGGAGCCGCTTTATCCTCACAAATGTCACGGGGGTTCTGGAGCCTATCCCAGCCGTCTACGGGCAGTAGGCGGGGGACACCCCGAACCGGTTGCCAGACAATCGAAAGGCACACATCAACGAACAACCACGCGTGCTCACAATCACACCCAGGGACAATTTCGAGTATTCAATCAGCCTGCCATGCATGTTTTTGGAATGCGGGAGGAAACCGGAGTACCCGGAGAAAAGCCACGCAGACCCAGGGAGAAAATGCAAACTCCACACAGGAAGACCCGGAGCCGGGATCGAACCCACGACATCTGCACTGTGAGGTCGGCGTGCTAATCACTGGCCCACCGGGTCAAGCGAAATTATTTTGTTTTAGTTATGTCATAACCCTTTGAGGGACACGACAGTGAACAGCTTAAAAAGGTTATCAGGTGACAGAGTGCATGAAAGGGTTAATGCAAATCTCACTTGCAGTCAGATTAAAGAATTACGTTCCTATTGTGCAAGGGGGGAAAAAAGTCAGGAAAAGCCTACTAGAGCATCCGAACTTGATCAGATGTTCTCCAGAGGCACTTTGAATGATGGCAGTTACGTGCTGACACCCAGTTAACATGATCTTGAATGTAATCGGTTCATTTGGAACACAGCCACATCCCCAGTTTGCGACTAACCAAGCAACTAATTAAGTAACTTCACCTAATCTAATTAATGAAAGGGGGAAAGAAGCAAAAATGACATGAAAGCCACCTTCAATAGCTGAACTTTATTAAGCCTGATCAGAGGCACCTTAATTTGTGGCATGCGTGTGATGACTCCCATTTGACATGAATTTAAATGTGATTGCTTAATTCTGACACAGCCACGCACCCAATTTAGGAACTATGAAACTAAATGACAGTAAAGTCAGCAGAAATGACAGGAAAAGCCTACTTGAACAGCTAAACTTTATTTGAGGTTAATCAGAGGCACTTAAAATGACGGCAGATGAGTTGTGCTGACTCCCTAAGTTTGAATTTGATGGGTTCATTCTGGACATAACGACAGCCCCAGTTAGTTTGGGATAGCTTTTTTTTTTTTTTTTTTTTTTTAATGAGGTGATTTACACACTATCAGTCAAACTAATGGTGGAAAAAGTTTTGAACTGATTTATCTTGGTCTCATTTTTTCATATAAAACAGGGGTGTGCAGACTTTTTATATCCACTTCAATAGAAGTTTTCAAATACAATACTACAATATAATTACCTGTAAGCAGAATCAGGTGAGGATATTTTCAAACAGCGCTAATATATAACACACACATTTGTATTCTTTTTGACAAACATTGAAAATAGGCGTTATGTCATTCTAATGACCAATTTAACACCTGAAAATGATCAGCATCCCCCCTACCCCCCCCCCCCCCTCCCACTCAGTTTTTTTTTCTTTTCCTTTCCCAATGTCGCAGCAGCGTGTCGCCCCACCGGGAGCTTTGTCTCCTCATAATTGATGATTGCATTGTAATTAATCACAAAGGCGAGACGGCTGTTATTAAGTTGATGTGAAATAATGCCGGGCTCCCGAGTCCCGTGTTATAATGACCACTGGAGGAGGGTATTAAAGCTAATCATCATTGTGCCGAGCAAGGGTGGGGGGTTGGATTTAGCACACCTCCAGACATTGTAAAAGCGAGAGGGCTTCTTAGGGAGGGCTGTGAGGATTACCCCGGAGCTGTGAGATATAAATATACACCCTGGGGGAGAGATTTTGTTCCCCGGGGCAGACGTTTATGGAGAGGCATGTGTCTGAATAAGCGAAGCGACCCCTCCTCCCACTCACCTGCACATGCTAAACATATTCCCCTTTAGCTCTATGTTAAGATAGAGCCTCGCATTGTAAAGCTGCTTAATTACTGCCCAAGATGTCCGATTGTGCCCGACTGGGCCGTTGCACATACATTAATCTCGGTATGCAACGCTGTTATTGCGATGCGTTGCGAAGCATGCTAATTGGAAAACTCTCTTCGGGGTGGTTCACTAAGCGCTCTATAACTTGCGCAACCGCCTCGTTTTTACGCGGACATCGATATTTCCCATTTGAAGTCAGGCAATGCATGTAAATAGCATTTTCTCCTTCCGTGAACACCAAGAAGTTGACATTTGGCGAAATCCGTTAGTAGATCAACCGGAAAATAAACCGATCATGATATTGCATTTCCTGGTCTTCTGGTTGCTGTATTATTGACGTGAGCAGTCAAGTAGTATGATGGACTTGAGACGTCCATGGGTGTGAAAAGAAAGACACATTTAGCATCCAAATACATTGGTTATAATTTATAAGAATTATATATATGTATGTATATATATGAATATATGTATATACATATTTACAGCATATGATTATATACATACATGTCAGTGTGTACTGTTTTGATATATATCATATATACTTTGTATAATGTGTGTATATATTTGTATCTGTAATCTGCTGTAATGATTGATGATTACTGTCAAACTAAACATAAAACAAAGAGAATTACTTCCTGATGATTGAATGATTGCTCGCCAACGGCACACCCTGTTTTGCTGTGGGATCATATTTATTTTGTATCAAACAATTACAAATAGTATCGATATCAGTGTTCGTGATACCGTCGCGATATTTGCATCATAATGGAGTGACATCAAATATTGCAGTGTCACACACTGCTCACAGCTTTTGGTGCCAATACCTCAGTCGCCTGATAACGTCGATCCAGTTTTGATGGAATTTAGCAACATCATTTCCAACATAACTACAAAGAGGAAAATGAACTCTATATGCTTGCGGTGTTGGCGACCGGAGGCACTCGCGTAATCCTTTCCCAGTGCAGACGGGAGCGGGATAACATTATTATGAGGAGAATATCAGCGGGCGGAGCTTCGGGCTCATTCCGTTAAACGAGGCGGCTTTCTTTGTTGACTTTCTTTTCAAAGGAGCTGAAATCTGATACAGACACCTAAAAAAAAAAAAAAAAAAAAATCTCCCAAAACACGAGTGAAATAAATAATCATATGGCATTCTCAGACAGAACAGACACGGTCTTGCAGAAGTTGGATTCTCCGCATAATGATGCACAAAGTTATTTTTGGAATTTCTTCTGTGTCAGAATGCTCTAGATCAGTGGTGGGGAACATTTCTCTCATCAGGGGTCCATTTCAGTCCAAAGGCCATCGTAAGTTTATGATGCAACGAACAAACTAATGGTTGGAACACCCTGAACTGAAAGCGAGCCAATCGCACGGCACACATAGACAAACATCCGTGCTCACAATCACATCGAGGGACAATTTCGAGCATTCAATCAGCCTGCCATGCATGTTTTTGGAATGTGGGAGGAAACCGGAGTACCAGGAGAAAACCTACGCAGGCACGGGGAGATCATGCAAACTCCGCACAGGAAGGCCGGGGGCCAAATCGAAATCCGCACCTCCGCACAGTGAGGCGGACGTGCTAACTAGCCGACCACCGTGCTGCCATGGCGATAGACTAATTTTTCTCACCAAAAAAAAAAAAAAAAACAAACAAAAAACTATTATGGATGTAGAACTTTCCTAAACTTAATTTGACCTTTTTCTATCCATTTCACATCAGTTCCTCAGAGGTTCTGCCAACGATCCAGAGCTTTTCTCGCCTTACATTGGTAGTCATGTTTGACCTGCATAATCTGTCTACTCCCTGCAGAGCAAATTGAACCCCCTCAATGTGACCCCCCCAATCCGGGCGGTGGACATGGACAGAAACATCCAACCGCCGTCAGACAGGCCCGGTGTGCTTTTCTTCATCCTGGTTGGTAAGGCCATCACGTCCCCCCCCGCACCCGACATTGATTTTTACTCATTTAATCTTGCTCACCTCTGCTGCGACGACATGCTTTGACTTTTGAATGATCACTCTTGACGCTCTTTTCCGTGCCGTAAATGTTTTTTTTCTTCTTCATTGCAGGCCATCCGGTCACATATCCTCAGTACTTCTCCCTGAACAAAACCACGGCGGAGCTGCGCGTCCTGCAGCCCATCAGCAGGGACTTGTATCAAAGGTTCACGCTTGTTATTAAGGTGAAGGATGAATTCGAATGTGCTCATCAATGTTGCATCAGCCAAGTCGGAACCGCTGTTCGTTTTGCTCGCAGATTGACCGTGTCGCCTTTATTTGAAAGAATCAAAAAGCAACCCTGCATCGGGCTTAGCGGTTTCCGTGCTGTGGCTTTGTGATGTTGTTGTTGATGTTGTGTTGTTAAGAGTTTGTGTATTTTCCGGTCCTGATCTGGTTTTTGTACCAGTCTGAGGGTTCGTTTTAATCTTCATGCTGATCCACTTTGTATACCAGGGTTAGTGTTTATTCTGGTTCTGGTCTAGTTTCTATCCAGTTATTAGGATCGGCCCTTGTCCAGGTTAAACCAGCTTTAGCTTTTATTCCGATTCTGATCAGGTTTCTATTTGGTTGGAAGGGTTAATGTCAATGTCCGGTTTCTATCCCAATGTTAAAATTGCTTTCGGATTTATTTACTTGTGAGTGTTGATTTTGGTGCTGATCCACTTGGTCAACCCAGTGTAAAGGTTTGTGTTTATTCTAGTCCTGATGCAGATCCTGATTCGTCTATATTCTGGTGGTGGTTCAATTTGGAATCCACCGGAGGTTTCGTGTGTTGTCTGCGATCAGGGTTGGTGTTTATTCTCAAATTTTAACCTCACCTAAAGAGTTAGTGGATATTCAGGCCGAGTGATGTGGTTGGTATCATGGTACTGGTCCAGTTTGGAGTCTCGTGTTGGATGAGTGCAGACCCAAAGTGCTGGTCCAGTTCATGTTGAAGTGTTTCGGATTTGACGTTATTGCAGTGCTGCTCCAGTTTGTAACCTGGGGTATGATTTTTTATTTTTTTTTTAGCTTTGAGTTGGCTAGTCCAGCCGTTCCACATCGATAGCCTCAATGGCTGAAGGCTGTCTTACCTTATCTCGAGCCACGCTTCGGTGATCGAGTCAAAGTAGATGTGATGATTCATGAGAGGGGGAAAAGTGAGCTTCTCTGAGCTGAATCCTAATTTCAACTTGCTGTTTCCTGTGAAAGATGGCTTGAGAGGAAGGGGGACGAAGGAACACTGGAGACGCATGCGGAGATTGGGGGTGGGGAGTACATTTGCGAATGGACGCTGAGGAACCAGTGTGAAAATGAGCCACGGGTGTCTTGAGAATGCTCCGCATCGAAACACAACTCGAGGCGCTGTGCCTCTGAAAACGGAACAAATGGAGTTGTACACGGCGACAAGTGGTCTTATCACACACCAGGAGAGGAAAAACAAAACGATCTACGGTGACACTTTAAAGGATGACGGGATTGGGAGACACGCAAGCAAGCGATAAGCAATGAATCTCCCGGAGGTCATTTACTGCCGCTTCCCAGATACGGCAACCCGGGCTAAAGACTAGACTCTCAAGAGAACACTGCAACCCTGCACCACCTGTCTGTCTTTTATCAGGCTCAAATGCACTATAATGTTGAGATGGCGCGCACACTTTATCGGTCAATGACAGCTATTTTCCCTGGGGTGGTTTTTTTTGGGTTGTTTTTTTTTTTTGTTTCAGAGAGCGCGTTGGATCTCCGGGTAAGGAAAGTACGGGTGTAGGCAGGCAGTCAGTCCTGTGTGACATTGCGGTGGCAGTGAAACCAGGTCGTAATGTCCTCTGCTAGCTTGAAGACGGAATAACCGGCAATATGGAATCATCATACGCACGCACACTTTTCAACAATTAGCACCAGCCTGAGCCACATTTGAATTGACACTCTGCCCGGCAAAATTGAGCCCACGTGCGGAATTGGTCTCAGGTCATGGCTTGAACTGATGTTCCCACAGTCTCTGATCTCTTTTTTTTTTTTTTTGAGGGGGTGAGGGGGGGTCATAATGTTTCCTTGGTGTGAGTGGTATGGTGGGCGCTGATAGGATCGAGCAAAAACAGGGCATTGCTTCAGTTTGATCCGATTGCGCTGCTTCCGAGTCACATTTTGGGGAATACACGGATAGGATGACGCGCGTGTATGTTTGGTAATGCACCACGTTATAAAAATCGATCGAGCTGCAATCGAAAATGGATTCATGGATACTCACGGTAGATTGAGCGAAGCTACGTGGCCCGCTTTTGCAAGCCCCATGTTGCCAAAATGCATCAACAAAATCCCAAGTCACAGTTGGAATTGAATTGAGTTTTCCGCAGCCTTTTTCAGACCCATCAAAGACAGTCCGGCTCGGTTCCATTGAATGTGAGCGATGTGCGGCGCACACTTTATCGGTCAATGACAGCTATTTTCCCTGGGGTGGTTTTTTTTGGGTTGTTTTTTTTTTTGTTTCAGAGAGCGCGTTGGATCTCCGGGTAAGGAAAGTACGGGTGTAGGCAGACAGTCAGTCCTGTGTGACATTGCGGTGGCAGTGAAACCAGGTCGTAATGTCCTCTGCTAGCTTGAAGACGGAATAACCGGCAATATGGAATCATCATACGCACGCACACTTTTCAACAATTAGCACCAGCCTGAGCCACATTTGAATTGACACTCTGCCCGGCAAAATTGAGCCCACGTGCGGAATTGGTCTCAGGTCATGGCTTGAACTGATGTTCGCACAGTCTCTGATCTCTTTTTTGGGGTGGGGGGTTCATAATGTTTCCTTGGTGTGGGTGGTATGGAGGGAGCTGATAGGATCGAGCAAAAACAGGGCATTGCTTCAGTTTGATCCGATTGCGCTGCTTCCGAGTCACATTTTGGGGATACACGGATAGGATCACGCGCGTGTATTTTGGTAATGCACCACGTTATAAAACTCGATCGAGCTGCAATCGAAAATGGATTCATGCATACTCACGGTAGATTGAGCGAAGCTACGTGGCCCGCTTTTGCAAGCCCCATGTTGCCAAAATGCATCAACAAAATCCCAAGTCACAGTTGGAATTGAATTGAGTTTTCCGCAGCCTTTTTCAGACCCATCAAAGACAGTCCGGCTCGGTTCCATTGAATGTGAGCGATGTGCGTGCGCTGACTGATGCACTTGTTTACGTGTGCATGGAAGCCTCATTGCCTTGTGGAGTCCAAGCCTCAAATTAACAGCACCGCTTGCCTAAACAATGGCAGTCATACCAGGTTGTTGGAAGTCCCGGATTGCAAATTGGCAGCAAAGCGCTACTTCAGACGGAGCTAAAGCTCCTCTTTTCACTTCACCATAGTTGCTTTGCACCGAAATTCCACAAGGTGGCACCAAAGCACTAATTTTCTCTTAGACAGGTCTGTGGCCTGTGTAAATGAAGCTCCTCATTTAACTTCAATATAGTTTATTTGTGCCAATATGCCACTATGGTTCCAAAGTACTACTTTTCCTTTAGACTGGGTTATGGTCTATCTAACTGAAGCTTCTCCCCTCAGTTAAACGGTGTTTCTTTGCACCAAGATGCCATTAGATGGTGCGAAAAACTGTTCCAATAGACAGGGCTTGTGGCCTTTCTAAATAAAACTTCTCCGGTAACTTCAACATAGTACAGTTCCACAACGATGCCACTAGATGGTGCCACAGCACTACTTTTCTTTTAGACAAGGCCCATTTAAGTGAAGCGGGGAAAAGTTTATCAGCAGAAATAAAGGATAGGAAAAGAGGTTTTAACTCACGGCACCTGCGTATGTCACTTTGCGTTTTGTTCTCAGGCCGAACAGGACAACGGCCACCCACTGCCGGCCTACGCCGACCTCATCATAGAAATCCTCGACGAGAACAACCAGGCGCCGTACTTCCAGTTTGTCACCTACCAGGGTTACGTGAGCGAGTCGTCCCCGGTGGGCACCACCATCTCAGCCGGGGTCAATCTCACCACGCCGCTGGGGATCGTTGCGCTGGATAACGACGTCGAGGAGGTGAGGGTCGTCTGCCCTGCAGCATCGACCGATGATAGCCAATGTCCTTTCAGACGTGTGTGAAAAAATAATGATGCATATTCATCCTGCCTCCATGAGTCATTTCCCATGTTTGTCATCATTGTAGCTGGCTCTTGGTGATACTCCTGTAGGTAAAAGAGAGGCTTTCAAAGAGCTGCGCCGCACACCCATTTACAGAATTGAGCATATCATGGGGATGTCCTGATTATTTACACATATTGGTGATGACTCCTTTGATTTATAATTGCTGTTCTGTGGGGGGGGGGGGCGGGGGGAGACTGCAGCAGAACCCTAATGGCTTCTTCATTCATGCCAGTAAAAATTCCTAATGACACTCTGTTAAATCTGCATTTTAGTTCACTTTGGTTTAGTGTGCCGTGGAATGTGCAGTATCTACCACGGTGACACTCATCTGATTAATACGTGCAAATTTAGCGCAGATAGTAAATAGGTGATGATTCATTTGCTGGCTAATGAAGCCGGCGGGTGGATCTGCAGTCTGACTCAGGGCATCCCTCCTTCCTGTGCATGGGGAAGCGCTTATTGACTCCTGGAGACGATTGCAGTGGTAGAGATGCTCAACTGACACTTTTTTTTTTTTTTTTTACGTACACCTGCACAATCCAATGACACAATAATGCACAGTCACTTGCTAGAGCTACTACAACTACCGTACTAGTTAGCACTCGTATTATTTGCCGCTACTACTACACTTCCCAAGCACATTTCTCATGCCATTAAGTAGATTATGGCATATTTCGTCCAGCCCTCCATCCTGAGGTGCTCGCCAGCCAATCACTGGGTATTATAATGTTACTGTCAGATAAAAATAAAAATGGAAAAAAGACAACTTATGATAATTCAGAATATTGAAAGAGTATTAACAAAAGTATCCCAAAGAAGTAAGAATTCAGTTTGTGGTTGCAGTTTGCGGTTACCGTATTTTCTGCACTATAAGGCGCACCTTCAATGAATGGCCTATTTTAAAACTGTTTTCATATATTGGGTGCGTGCATTATAAGGCACATAGAGTAGAAGCTACGGTGGTGGCTGCGGTTGCATTATGCATCCACTAGATGGAGCTACGCTAAAGGGAATACAATACAATTCAGCTTTATTTATATTGAGCTTTCACAACCGCTGCAGCTGAAACAAACAAAGACCATTTAAAGTACTACGTCCAAGAAATTAGAATATTGATCCATATTTAAGGCACATTGGATGATAAGGCGCACTGTCGGCTTTTGAGAAAATCGAATGCTTTTAGGTGTGCCTTATAGTGCAGAAAATGTGGTAGTTTAGAGCGGCACTGTATTCGTAAATCCATATTAAGTGACATATAAGAGGAAAAATGTGTCAGATTATTAAAATAACATCTCTGCAGACTGAGGCAACATCATGGACACAGCTGTTATTCTATTGTGAAGGTGTACCTTATATTATGTCGAGTGCAATATTCTGAAAATGTCAATATAAGCGTGGGTTTTATTGGAGTGCTTCGAATACTTTGCTTGCATTCAGAATTCCTGCTGTGTGTTGTCAGCGTTCAAAAGTGGACTTTCTGGCATGCGTTTGAGAACGTAATGGTGTGTTTGTGAGATCCGAGGACCATATATCTTCCTCAAACAGACGTCTGCCATCCTGCAGTTCACCTTTCAAAACAGCTTTGTTTCCATGCGTTTCAGGAGAAAATGTGAAGGGTAGACACGCGGAATGTAATCGATAACCCTCTCTGTTGTGGTGTTTACCAAAGCAGGCCGACAGACGCTAATCGAACGCGCCGATGACCACTACGGATGTTCAGACAAATAAGTTGGGCGCTTCTGCGAACGCTATTGTTCATCACCAGCGTGCATCGTATTTTATTCGTCTTTGTATAAAAAAAAAAAAAAAGGAAACTGGAGGTGGTTGTTTGAGTAGAAATCATTCTTTTATTGATGTTGTCATGTTAAAAACACATTGATCCATCCTTCCTCCCACTCCTCGCTAGGAGGATCACACGTTTGCTTTCCTCAGCCTTGGAAGGGAGACGAAGCTTCCATTTGGCCATGGTAACGCATTTCTTGTTATATTCCACATCTCCACAACTGCAAGACTCAAGACCCCATGTTGAAGATAACCCTGGACGACTACACGGCCATCTTCAGTCTGACCCCGACCGGCATAATCCGCTATCTGAGGCTGCTGAAACCCGTCGACCGGGAGAAGCAGATGACCTACACGTTCACGGTATGCTCCGTTCCTACTGGCCGCAGTAAATTACCGCCGACCTTTGACCTGCATCTCCTTTCGTTTGTTTGAGTCGATGGTCGGAGCAGACGCAATGTCAGGGGCAGTCGCGTCTCGCACAATGCGACCTTTCCTAGGCAATCGAGGAGCAATGTATGTTCTCGCGAATGTACGAGGTGTGTCAAGGCAAGGCGTGTTTTATTTCTATAGCATATTTCATACATAAGGCAAGTCAATGTGCTTCACAAAAGACACAACATCATACAAGCATTTACAAACAAAACACTCCACCAAATTCTGGAGCAAAGCAGAGAAAACAAAAACTTCTTATGAAGACCGCCAGAAGATACACTGACACCATTGAAAAAAACTGTGTTGTGTTAAGAAAGTGGATCTTTGATACATGCATTGAGAAATGAAAAAAAAAATCTGTAGGCATAAAAAGCAGGATTAAAGATGATTTCACGTTCAATTTTCAGCAAAAACTAGGATCACCTTGTAACAAGCCTACTTCCTGTTGAGACTCTTCTGTCCAGTATTAAGCGTTCAAAAATGCTGTGCTGTCCAGTGGCCAACAGTGGAATTACATGAAAATAAAAATGCCTCAGAACTAAATACAATACATATAATTTGTACCGTGCTCATGTGATTTACAAAATACAGCCCAACTGTATTTGTAAACAAGCAATTAAAAATTCAGTGTTTTATGTGCCACCTTTAAGCCACACACTTATTTTAACCTGTGCCAGTAGCACTTAGCCAGCGGGCAGCTAACATCATTTTATCTACTTGGACCTGACTTGAAAAAGTTACTGTGTCAAGCTGACTTTTTCAGTTAAAGAGAAGCCAATTGGGTTTTTTGGGTTTTTTTTTTACAAGGCTTTAAATGAGAGAGACTGGCACTTGGTCCAATGGGTCCGATAATATGAAGTGCTGCTTCATCAGAAAAAAAGGCAAAATTGGGTCTAGAATGGTTCGATGAGAATTGATTCTCTCATTTTATTTTATCGCTCTACTCACCACATTTTTCTAATCTCGCTGCCAAATCCTGATGATCAGCGCAGTCAATATGGTGGGCAAAAAAAAAAAGAAAAATCCATTTAAATCCTTTTTGATCCATTTACAGGTTGTCCTGCAGGTGAAGCTTTATACGAGCAGCGTTAAAATCACTCCTACACGCTGCTCGTAAAGTTCTCAATTTACTAAACACATCCTTCTCCTGACAGATTAACCTTGCGTCAAAAGCAAATATGCAAAGCGTGTTGCCATAAAACCGCACTCACTTGCTTTATTGCACATACAGTATCCATCTGGCAAAGGGCAGATGGGGAAAAAGCCCATTGCAAAAGAGCATTCGTGTTCAAATATTTGCATTCTGTTGTTATTACTCATCGGCCACATAGGGGCCAATCTGATTGAAGCGTTGAATAAATTACACAGTTCCAGTTTGACCAGAAATTTGTTTGCCCTTTTTTCCTTCTTTCATTGATTTGCGGCTAGTTGTGATAAAACTGCGACTATAATCATCAGGAATACCATTTTTTTTTTAATATGTATGTGAAAAAAAATAATGTGACATGTCCATTTAATAAACTTGCATATCTCCATCTGGAATGCACCAGTCCTTCAACTAAATTAGTAATTCAATTTAAAACTATTACAAAGAACAATAAATGCATTAATGTAAATACAATATCTACTCACAGAAATCTGAAACATGTCCTCATCTCATTTTTTTAACTTTAACAAAAAAATGTGAATAATAATCAAAAGATATGTATATATCATCATGAAATATTAAATACATAATGGTACATATTGTATAGATTTAGTTAAATATGAATACATACATAGTGTATGAATTGTTATATGTGTAAATGATATAAAGGTGATCTTGGTGTGGGAATTCTAAGGATCGGTGTCTGGTATCGGCAGCATCTGTGAGTACCCAATACCTTATAAAAGGCTGTTTTTTTCCCTCTATTATCAATACCTGGTATTGGTATTTGGCCGCCACTAAATATAGTCATATGTAATATTCAAAACACTAGTTTCTCAAGTACATCACTAATCCTAATACTGTTGAGCCCCAATAAACAAATATTCCTGAACGTTTACTGCCTTATTTTTGTACAACCTGAAAGTACAAATCTTGATGATTTCAAATCTATTGTGGTGATGCATTAAGACAGCACATCTACAAGCCTGAACCTCCTTTAAGGTCATTTCTGCAGCACTTGTTTGAGATTCTCTCATCAGATGCGTAGTCATCTGTCTCGCAAGGCCACGGCAAATCGACCCCGCAAATATGTGTGTCGTCTGCACAGATGGTGGCGTCGGATGGCGTCCAACGGAGCGGCCCCGTCACCGTCAACATCTTAGTCGTCGACGCCAATGACAACGCGCCCACGTTTGCTCAAGTGTCCTACAGCGTGGACTTATTCACAGACATGCAACCCGGGGAGACGGTGCTGCAGGTAATGAGTCCGCACAAAAACATTTCCGCCCGCTGGTACGATTCTCTCAGCAACCCGTTTGTGTCTGCATGCCTGCATTATACTGCCTCCCGGTGGCCAAGGCAGGCACAGCAGAGGGAGCACGACAATGAATTGAATTACAACAAAATCCTTATAAAGCTGTAGGAGTGGCAAGGAGAAAATCTTTCGGGGGCGGCGCGCAGGTATCGTGGTGGATTGTGTTTTGATTGTGGATTGATTTCTGAGTCCGAATAAATGAATTAAACGCGTATCTCAAGGCACATTTTTTTTATATTACTCGGTTACAGCAAAAAGCAATAGCCAGTCCTTTCATGACTTTTTCTTTTTTTTGCATAATACTCCAAATTGAAGTTATCATTAGCAGCGGTGGTACTAAGTGAATTATCCGAGCCCAGCACAGGGACCTATTACAGCGCAAGAACACTTGTTGCCGTCTTTTGGTCCGTATCATAAACAACCGGAGGATGCCCCCTCTGGGATTCATCGCGGCTGTCGAGGGGCAAGCATCCATGCTGGATGACTAATATTGTCTTTAGGCACTTCGGTTTAAAAAAAAAAAAAAAAAAAAAATAGAGGAATCAATAGGTCGTGAGGTTTGTTTGCTCCTCGGCAGTTTCGGAATGTATATAGGCGGTATGAGGTTACCATAGGTCGACAAATGTTTACCACTGGCACTGCTGCGCGCAAGTGCATTATGTACACAGCTGTAGGGGTGGCAAGGAGTAAATTGGAGACAATTATTTATTCCACGCTGTGCAAAAGGGCTTTATGGTGGAAAATAAGCCAATGGCACAAAAGCCACACTGGCTAGTTAAATTTCATGTTCACTTGGCCTTCAGTGGCGGATTTATTTCACCCCTATCTGGTCGCAACCATGAATATGAGGCCGTCTAACATTTTTATTTATTTTTTTTTTTTTGGGAGACCGATTTTAATATTTGGCAGAATAGAATTCTGACAACTGATTCGATCGAACCCAGGTTAAGAACCACTGGTTTAGATGGATGACTCGGACGGCCCACCACCACCTACCACTGAAACCAAAAAAAAAAAAAAAACGCACACAATGACACAGCAACATGAAATGCATCAAAAAGTCGTGCTCTACCTCCAGCATCAGCACAGTAGGATTTGTTTTTGATAATGTTCTCTCTACTCCGATTCTCTTAATAGATTAGAGATCCCACCTGATTCCATTATTGCGCTGCCTTTAACCCTTTGAGGGAGAGCGGTGACTAAAGTGGACAGCTTACCATGTTATCAGGTTGCAGGGTGCATGAAAGGGTTAAATATCATTGTTTGATCCCAGCTGTGCACAAACATGCCGCTGCCTAAAAATGTGAATCCGTAACCCCGTTCGGCTAAATCCACTCATGCGGAGCCTTCCATCTTTTTCATTTCCTCTCCATTCGTAGTTCGACTTCGCTCGTTTGTCTTTCTGTCCGACTCGGAAAGGTCGAGTTTAATCTGTTTTAAAAAAGAATGTCCGTTTGGCCTCCGCGAAATGAGGCCAGCGGCCGTGGCGTGTTCGGCGTGAGCGCTTAACCGGTTTTTATAAGCCCTTTATGAAAGAGGGTAAGCAGGCAGGTTCCCTCGGGCTACTGCTGATGTTTTATGTTTGATGCGCCGACTTGTCCATTAAAACAAGGTGCGCTTGGTTCAGGATGAAAATTCGCCAAAGATGTACAGAAAGTCCAGGCAAGGCTCGCCATTCCTCGCGGCGGGCCGCCGTCGAGTAACTGGCTGATCCGGACTAATGCGTTTGGAAATCAAAGCGAGAACCCGAGCTTTACGCTTTCATTTCAAAAGCGCAACAATCCATTTCGGCGCCATCCAAACTTTTATTGAGCTCGAATCTCAACAGGCTGCGGCCACCCGCCGCGAGGATTTATCTTCAATGCAACATCTATACCTTTAATGTTGCAGAACAAAGCTCGCTTTTCTGTTTGGTAGTAGCCTGACATCAAAACTGGTTCAAGTCATTTCCACGCTCCGAGTGGCCATAAAAGTGTCGAGTTGATGCGCCTGCTTCTTTCTGTCTTCCCGCGTCAAAAGTTAACGGCGGGGGATGCTGACGAGGGACTCAACGGACTGGTGACCTACGAGATCCTGGCCGGGGCTCAGGGACACTTTGTCATTAATAATCGCACGGGTCGCATCACAGTGGCACCCGGCGTCAGCCTCGCCGTCGGACGATCTTTCGCGCTGACCGTCAAGGCGTCCGACAACGCGCCGGAGTCCCTGAGAAGGTACGCTCGCATGCACGCAAATTCCATTGCGGGGGACGGTCAACGCAGCACTCGCAAACGTGAAATAAACTGAAAACCTGCACAAGGGTTGGATGAGCAGATGGATGGAAGGTTGGGTGGCGCTGTTATAATAGTTTGGGATTTTAGTTCGTTACTTTTTAGTTCCTTTCGACTTTTGTTTTTTGGATCGAGTTACAGTCAAACCTCGGTTTTCGAACGTCTCTGTTCGGTTTTCGACCAAAAATTTCGAGTTTTTTTTATGCTTCGGATGACGACCGAATTTCGGTTCTCGAACAAACTGAGCGCACTTGAATGCGTCACTTGACTCCTCTCGCCTTCCTTGCACGAGGAAGTGACGAAGAAGTGACGCTTCCACGTGTAGCGTGCCATTGTGAACAGACGTGTTCAATAAAGATTTTTTTTTTTAAAAAAAGAAGCGTGGTTTCGGTTTTCGAACAAATCGGTTTTTCGAACAGCCTTCTGGAACGGATTATGGTCGAAAACCAAGGTATGACTGTACTCTTAATTGTTTTTTAGAGCAGGTTTTTGGAGAGTTTTTATTAGTTTTAGTATTAGTTTTATTAACATGGAGTGTTTGTTGAGTGTAATTAAAAAATAAATAAATAAAATAAAATAAAGGTCACAAAGGATTATGTAATAAAATATGACCTTTCCTCTTCTATCCGGTTCTACAGCAATACCAAAATGAATAATTTTAAAATGAATGTATGATGACATTCGTTTTCTAAACATTTTTTAGTTCGAGTTATTTTGTTAGCTTTTGCTAACTGCCATCACCTTGTTGTTGTTGCTATTTGTTTTTTTTTTTTTCTTCGCTATCCTCTTGCCCCGAGCTCCAT